TTGCTATACACACGATTTTTAGTTGGCGTATTAACGGGAGAGGATCTGCCGATTAAAGCTGCAATTATAAAACTTACCTGATCACTCTAACCAAAGAATATGGTAACGCGACTTCTGGACAATTTTCCTGTCCTATAACCTGCAGCGCACGGCTGAGAGGGGGCCATAAGGATCAATAAAGAACACCCCCACCCCCGGAACAACCGACACTGCGCTACATTCTGTTCCCTGCTCAAGCTTAATTTAATACCCCAACCATCCACCCACCTTGTTTCAAATAACAACTAACACAGTTGCAACAGAGCACAACTTCAAGCAAAATTAGATCAATACGTCTCCATCCACAGCGGGTAGCAAAAACGCAGATGTACGTACTAATATTCTACTCCAGATCACAGATGACTCATCGTCCTAATGATGGAGGCACCGAGGCAGGTAAACATATACCAGACTACACGGCGCTACAACCCAGAGGACAGTCAATCATCTTCACGAATTTTTCGTTGCATTAAATAAACACTTTTATTACTGATTATAAACATGGTTCAACTACAGATTTCCACCGACATAGTCTACTCTACTTAAATACGTAAGCTGCTTAAGACACATGGCGAAGTCAGAAATATAAAAAAATGTATACAAATTACCAGACAAATCTATCAGTTTCGAACACTTAAAGGGAACCACCTGAAGATGACCAATTGAGATCGAAACATGTAGTGGATTTTTAATAAAAATTGAAACTGAAATTTTAAAAAAAAATGTGTAGACGCAACGCGACCTTCAACCCCCGGAGGCAAACAAAAGTACAGAAGTTTGTACGAGATACAACCAGTGAATTATGCTCAAAAAATAAAACAAAACGCTTCCTTCCAAATCCTTTCCAATTCACTAATCATCCTGTACAGTCTACGACAGTAAATAACTAGATCCACGAATCACAAACTAGCATCGACCTTCGCCCCAGGTACTGACAGGGTCGCCAAGCCCACCGCCAGCCATCATCGCCCTAATGATGGATGCAGTGAGTTTCTGCTAAACGTCGGGTCAACATCCAAGACGACGTCGACCAATCTTCATACTTGTCTGCGTCAGAACCTGAAATCTCGCACGGTACAAGCAGACAGCATCAGAGCAACGGAACCTGTTTTACTGGGCGAGACGGAAGAAGTGTCTCTCAAGAGCAAACTTTACAGAATCCCCTGCTAATCTCCAGATGACCCCCTGACAGGCGGCTCGCGCGCGCTAAACTTAGACACAGTTTGGCGCGTGGGGATGCCATCGGCTGTGCGTTAACACCAGGGTCACAGCTCACGACACATCAACGCCTGCCTCTTCACGGTACTTAAGACCAGCGCCCTATGCCTTGAAACCAGTAAAATTCGTGCACAGAAAACTACCCTCTGAAAACTGAGTACGTAACGATTATAACTTTTTACAGAAGAAAGTACAGTCTGTTCCAGAAATACGCAGGCGGGTTTACGGCATTCTGGAACAGTGAAGTGGCTAGCAGATGTGAGCTGTATATTTGGAATCCCAAGTTGTCACTTCCCTTCTTGGAATGACAACATTAAGGCAACTTAACTTCTAAGTAAACAGTGATTCCAACAGCATACATTCTCGACAAATTACGTCACACAACGAGCTCATAAAAATCTGAATTTATAAAACACTTTCCTACTGCGTAGTAAGAGCAAGACGGAAGTGTCTAATTTGTTATGACAGTCCTCACAGCAAAGACAAACCAGCAGTCATCCTACGTATCGCCCCTGACACATCGGCAAAAATGTTACCACCGAACATGGCCCTGATATGAGTTCTGAAAGGGCACACAGAAGGGAATACGTCATAATTACATACTTTTTAAAAACCGAGTGTGAAGAAATGTGGTTGCCACTTCAGACCAACTGTTAAGCTAAGCTCCACCAGTGGACAATGACGAAGTGGTGGGCTAGGAACACCTCGCATGAAGTTATCGTCCAAAGGCATCGATCACTACGGCTTGTCCTCTCTAATCGTCGGGGTATTTAAAATCCTATTCAGATACGTAATAGCACTCTTATCTCTCTCGGGATATAAACCCCAGTCTTCCAGCCCGTAGAGGATAACATCCTCTTAAAAATGACGTGGAGTCCACGTATGACAACTGTAACATGACTGTCGCGTTGAAACCGACAGAGAAAGCTTAAAATTATTTCACATAAATTCCATTACGAAAAAGCGATTATATCAATTCACACCGTAACCAGTGTTCGTCGAACGATCACATGGGACAACACGTAATGTAAAAAAAAAATTCATTACATCGATTGCGGAGATATGCGTCATACTTTTCAAAAGAGACGCGTCTATTTATAGTGCTCCGACTTGTCGATAAACGTTCGTCAGGCATCATCTCTCCACAGCGCGCAGAGATTCAGAAATCTACAAAAATAAACTGAGAACAGAAATTAATCCAAGATCACGTTATAACATCTCTTCTCATACCAATATACTCCAGTTTCTGACAATTCAAACATCAATACGTCCCTCCCACAGATGAGTCGATTTCTAACCACCAGCAGAGTCTGTACTGAGGCCACAGACCACACCGTGATGGAGGAGAACAGCTATGTACTCCAGCCGTTTTATTTATTTATTTATTTTAGTGTTCTGTCTGACGACAGGTCCATATGAACAGGATCCTTCCATCCTTTTCTCGGACTGGGACCTGTTCATATACGTTCTTGGCAGATGATCCAGAAGTGGTTTGCCATTGCCTTCTTCTGTGTGTATGTTATTTTGTGTTCTGTCTGACGACAGGTCCATATGACCAGGATCCTTCCATCCTTTTCTCGGACTGGGATCTGTTCATATACGTTCTTGGCAGATGATCCAGCAGTGGTTTGCCATTGCCTTCTTCTGTGTGTGCATGGAGTAATTGTTGGGATGCCACGGAGGAAAACTCCGTGTTGCCTAGACCACGGCCTTGCCCAACACAAGTTATAAATTCGGGCACCGCCGGGAATCGAACCCGAGACCCCAGGATTACAAGGCCAGCGTCCTAACCGCTAGACCACCGTGGCTCCAGCCGTCTTACCTACTGGTAAAGCCCGCGTCATCCTGTGGACGAGCGCTTCGGTTATCAGAAGTAGGGTTTGGGTCTGCGCCTGATAACACACACGAAGTTTTTTCTTTCTAAAGCTTCAAGAACAATGTGTGGGAGCAGTTCCGAGTGGCCACGGCTGAGAAACTTCCACAAGACCTTGACCCTACGACTGGTTACATCACCTAAAAACAAGAAGTCACCGTAACTATCTGAAGATCTTCAGATACTTCTGTGATACACACATCTCCCTGATGACACAGCAAGCACCTTCGAAACGTCGGTTAACTTCTACCTGATTACACAGCAACATCCCCGAAGTACACTGGGGGTTTGCGTGCATGAGATTCGCAATTACACGAATTTGTACACGAAGTCCCAGAGTTCTCTTTCCTTCTACTGTTCTGTTCACTGCTGGAGGAACAAAGTCGACACGGTTTCCAGAAACACGGTCAAATAACGCGGAGTCTATGCAATTATGACGTGCATCTACGTTGATCAGACTGTGGAACACCTGCTGATCGGGTCCTATCCAGTGTGAAGCCAAAACTCATGGCGTGGGCAGAATGCACGGTCACATCGCCTACACATGAAGAGCCCGCAGCTTAAAACAAAGAACGTCCTCCTGAAAAACATCAGGTTTTCGTTTCCTTTTTTTACGATTTCTCTTGGCGTGGTGAATAAATATGAGAGGAAGCCAACAATTATTTGTTAAAAATGCCTGTTACGGTCGGGAACATCTGGTCTGTTTTAAATATCTTTGTCAGCCGGAGACGTTGTGTGGCTTCAAATTAACAATTATGACGGAAGACAAAGATAGTTTAAATAACTTTTAAGAATTCAGTCCGTACCGCATAGAAAACACCACACTTCATCGTTACATAGATCAACTGGTTAACGCTGTTTAAGGAAATAATCGCTGTATACAGTGAGAATCATAGTTCGTCTAAATTACATTTAAGAATTCAGTGCGTACCGCGAAGAAAACACAACACTTCACCATTACAGAGATCAAATGGTTAACGCTGTTTAAGGAAATAATCGCTGTATACAGTGAGAATCATAGTTCGTCTAAATTACATTTAAGAATTCAGTCCGTACCGCGAAGAAAACACTACACTTCACCATTACAGAGATCAAATGGTTAACGCTGTTTAAGGAACTAATCGCTGTTTACACTAAGAATCACAAGAAAGCCACAAATATACTGTGAGTTATTGATAAGCACATCAGGTGATACAGTTACAATCGGGCTTTAAAGATCATCCGGTAAAATCGACCAATTCCGTCGAAGTACACATTTGACTTCAGCAGAGGTCCTAAATCCTTAAAAAGTCCTACACCTATGCGAGAATTTCGAACCGGAAAGTAATTAAAAAAATTATATTTCCATAATATTATAATCCTGGAGATCTACACTAATTTGAACGTCTCGGAACGTAATGTATACTAAGTTTGAATATCAAATGACTTCTTGCGTGGTTCCGTAACTAATTAAATTGGTGGCCGTCCAATTTCTCATTTGAACAGCTGCTCCGCTGTTGCATCCTCGAGGTTGGATGGAAATTATACGTGACTTTAAAGCGTTCTATTGCGTACGACTGTCATTTCGTATTCCGTCATTAGACGCACAACACGTGTCTACCGCAGGGGGTTCTCAGCCCTTGGGCCACTCCCCTCCCACTTTTTATTACAAAAATCGTACGAGGGCCGCACAAAAACACGTCGGCTGGTCAGGGTTGCGAACCCCTGGTCTATTACATCATGATACCGTCGTTCAACAGCATCACTTCAGACACGGTACCAACATCACACAGAAAAAGTAACGAAGACCAGACGAGGTAGAAAATATTTCTACGAGGGCTTCAACGTCGTTTTACTAGTATTATGGTTTTGGGACTGTTCTCTAGTGCAGTGGTATTCAACTTTTTTTGTTCGCGTACCCCCAGATATAATATCTCTTTAACTTTGTACCCCCAAAGTTGTTGGTATATATTTCAAGTTATATATATTATATAATCTACATCTAAAATAAATTATATTACATTACTGATTATTCGGTGTTTATCATATTTTTTTTTAAATTTCACGTACCCCCTAAGATGTCTTCGCGTACCCCCGGGAGTACGCGTACCCCAGGTTGTTTACCACTGCTCTAGTGGTTAACCACCTTCAAAATCAGCATACAATATGTAATACGACAAAACATATCGATTTGGGTGAATAAGCAGAGTTGAAGTGAACCTGGTGATGACCACATTAAGGTCGAAACATGTTCTGGAGTGACATGATAATACGTGAATAACATATAAATGCACGAAAAACACAACAGAATGCCCCGATACAAGATTTTACGCCATCTGCTCCTTGTAAAACTTTATCTTTCTGTCATCTTTGGAACCATCTTCCTGTCCTACTTCCTTACCCCACTCCTACGAAAAACCAAACAAAGACAGACCAAAAAAAAACATGTTTCACTGAGGGAAAGGAAAAAAATATGACCGCAGAGATAACATACGCGTAATTACATCGAAACCACCTTTCTACCTGCAATTTCGGTAATATATTCTGACATGTGCTTCCCGGAGCACAACTTTTTCATGAACGGGACTGTACGTGACTCCTAACTTCCTGTTACGAGGGAAAGAAAAGACCAGCCTTCTGGCGTGCTTACCTTATTACTGACTGCCAACCTCAGTGTTTACACCGACGAAGAATCGATGAGACAGCAGTGGCATAACGCTTCTAAAACCATCTCTCTCGACGTTATTCCAGCCTGCCTTAATTAACACAGGTACAGAACGAAAGATATTTTCATCTTCGAAAAAATCTCATAGAAGTACAGAATTACGTGTGGCTCGTAGAAAGTCATTCTCCACTACGGATCACTCAGACTGAGATAATTTTCATAAGGTCGCGATCACACAATGTGAGCTTGTGGCACAGGGGTTGTACCCCCAAAAAGACAAGTTATTCAGTAATTGAATTACCAGAACAGCGTACGAACACCGTCTGTTACTTGCCCGTCGCACACAACTCCTCAGTGGCATGGAGAGAGTGCTTATACCCATATGAATTATTAGATTAATTCTCTCCAGAATGTATAGCGACGCCATCGTATTTTAGGGCGTGTTGGATGTACGAAACAGAAGTTAAGCTTGAGTGCCTGTCTGATTGTACCGAGTAAATTATATTAGCGGCTTGAATCGTTAATAAAATACTAGTACGCCAGAGTTTATATTCGGAAACTAGTTTAAATCGTTTCGACTTACGTAATGAACTGTGTGGCCGAACAGAGTTCTGTTTATTTCTTTCTTTCCTCCTTGTATATTTATAGTAATTAATTAAGTTATTTTGGAAAATAATTACCCAGTAAGAGATGGGATCAAGCAATCAGCCTGTCGGTTACAATTAGAGGATCTCATAATGGGTTCGAAATTCTGAAACACTGACTTTTATCCCACCAGTGCCCCCCCCCAAAAAAATAAAATAAATTTGCATTTTATATTAAATTAACAACATAACTACATTTATATATTTAGTTTCATGTGTTTATTTGTTCTTGTATTTGTAATGTTTTTGGTCTAGGCAACACGGAGTTTTCCTCCGTGGCATCCCAACAATTACTCCATTCACACACAGAAGAAGGCAATGGCAAACCACTTCTGGATCATCTGCCAAGAACGGATATGAACAGGTCCCAGTCCGAGAAAAGGAGGGAAGGATCCTGTTCATATGATTTATAACTTGTGTTGGGCCAGGCCGTGGCCTAGGCAACACGGAGTTTTCCTCTGGGGGCTTCCCCGGTTTCTCCGTGGCAACAATTACTCCATTCACACACAGACGAAGGCAATGGCAAACCACTTCTGGATCATCTGCCAAGAACGTATATGAACAGGTCCCAGTCCGAGAAAAGGATGGAAGGATCCTGTTCATATGGACCTGTCGTCAGACAGAACACTACATAAAATACTCTGGTTTAGTGCTTGGCTGTTATTGGCCTTATTTGGCTGTTGACAAGCACTTAAATAAATGAACTGAATTGCATAACTGTGGTCAAACCTTCAGAATTCCCATTTAAAACATGTTCACTTTACAATATCACGCGAAACCCGGCGAAATTAAGACATGAATTTACATTTTTACGTAAATTCTCAGTATGTGACGTGCACGTAGTCAGTTGTTCGAAATAACGTTTTCTGGAAACTTCCCCAAACATATACTATTAAAAAAAGGGCGAAACAGATGCTATCTGAGTGCCTAAGACATCGCAAAAACTCTGTAAAGCCCTGTAATGCAACTCGTTCGCGCTGGCGGCCTTTCTAACAGATTTGGCAACGTGTTGGCTTCTCTGAACTAGCTCATCATGGTAGATCTCTCTCTATTCATCTTCCGGGAATCTTCTCTTTCCGGCTTTCAGAATAGCATGCACTCTTACGAGCGGCGCAGCTGCGAAGTATCAGACTGGTCAGGTAACAAAAGTTGTCTGAACCATTTTAAAAACTTCGCAATGGTATGAGGAGGTTCGTTGCATTTTAAACTGCTCACTTCCGCGTTCCATCCATCTGAACTACTAATGACAGCTTTTCACGTACGACAAAGCAACCTCGCTCGTTCACAACGCCGACAAAACACCTCACGGATGCAATCAATGACATGTTCTTCCTAGGTTCCTCCAAGTAATCGTCGGTGTAGTGCAGAGGTAACGAGTCTTTAAGGTACTCAGTTTGAACCCCAGCCAAAGACCAGATATTTTGAGATCTCTCGTAGACTTACTACTTTAGCCCCACTATGTAAAAGACAGCCTAATCCAAAACGTTCTATGCATTTCCGATTTTCATAGTAAATATGACACAAACACGCAACCGCTGTTCCCACGGAATGTCCCTCCATAATGCAAAAAGTTGACAGTGGAACCACGGTTCCGGAGAATTTGACGTAAATACGTCTATACGGAAAGGAAGTTTATATATTGGCTTTATTCTAAATATTTCCTTTATACACGCTTTACAATTGAGATAAGTTTGATTAAGACATCGCTTAATCAACTTCAATTAGTTACGCTTAAGATGGGTCTGTGGTAGCTGAATGTAAAGTAATGTAAGATAAGGTAAGGTAATGTAATGAAATGTTTCCTAGGTAACCATCTTACACATTTTCATCACACTTTTTTGCGGAATGACAC